CTTCCCAGCTTATATCGGTTAGGACTTGGTTTAAATTGGTCCCACTTTATGTTTTTGTTATTGAAGTTGAATTTGGTGAATGTTCCCTCGTGACTAATCTCATTATGTCGGTCTGGGGCTCCACGCATACATGTCTGAACCTCAATTATGTTGTTGATCTGAGTATATTGTTTTTGATATGGTGACATTTCTTATCAGATCATCATTGTTAATGAAGATGAGGTCTAGTGTATTCTCCAGTCTAGTAGGCTCTATTATTTGCTGGTTTAAATTGAATTTTGTGCAGAGATTTAAAAGCTCGTGTGAGTGTGAGTTTTCATCAGAGCTGCCTCCTGGTGTTATTACTGCAACAATATTATTTGCTATATTCCTCCATTTTAGGTGCCTTAAGTTGAAATCCCCCAGGAGCAAGATGTTGGGTGCAGGAGCTGGAAGATTTTCCAGACAGTGGTCAATTTTTAACAGCTGTTCCTGGAATTGATGGGATGTTGCATCTGGAGGCTTGTAGACTACCACAATGACTAGGTTTTGGTTCTCGACCTTTACTGCTGAAACTTCCACTACAAAGCTCAGGAAGCAGAGAGGGAGAGGACCTAGTAGCGATCAGTGAAGAGGCGGGGCCAGGAGCTGAGTCTCGACCCCTGCAGCCACAATTAGGTAAGTACACACACACACACACACACACACACATTCTCTCTCTCTCTCTCTCTCCCTTCATTTATTTCACCAGTTGTTGTTATACATGTAAACTTTTACCTTGCAGTGAAATAAAGTAGAATAAGCATCACTTACACAAACTCTACGACAGAGATATAATTCTTAATAAGAATGCACAAAATACCGTTTTGGACCCTTTTCTATTAATTTTTATAGAGAGTGCCAAACCCAATTACCTCCCTTTTCCTAGGTGTTACATGGTCCTGACAGGTTTACTGCTTCATCATGATAATAATTTGCAGTGTTAATATTGTACTCCTATTTTCAGGGATTGTGAAATACAGTGGAACCTTGGTTTTCATATACCCTAGTTAGAGAAAATTCTTGGAGAAAATTCTCTATAAAATGTATCTTTTGTTAATATTTTTGGGTGTCTGGAACGGATTAACTGGTTCCATTCCAGACACTCAAAAATATTAACAAAAAACATATTTTATAGATAATTTTCTCCAAGAATTTTCTCCAGCTAGGGCATATGAAAACCGAGGTTCCACTGTATATTCAAATTCAAATATTTATTTGGTATGAGCTTTGGGAAAGTGCACACATAACCTGCACATAGGAGAACGAAACTTATGATGATGTTTCGGTCCAAGCTGGACCAAAATGTATACCTGGAGTATACCCCAGCAGTGATACTTGGTCTGTGACAAGGCCTCATGGTGGATCTGGGACTGATCAACCAGGCTGTTGCTGGTGGCCGCACATGAACTGATGTACAAACCACATCCTGGCTGGTCAGGTACTGACTTTAGGTGCCTGTCCAGCACCTTCTTGAAGACAGCCAGTGATCTATTGGTAATCCCCATGTATGCTATGAGGTAGCTGAACAGTCTTGGGCCCCGACACTTATTGTGCAATCTCTTAGTGTACTCGTGGCACCCGTGCTTTTCACTGGGGGATATTTCATCTCCTGCTGAGTCTTTTGCTTTCGGAGGGAGTGATTTTCGTGTGTAGATTTAGGACTAATTTCTCTAGGATTTTCCGAGTGTATATTATTACGTATCTGCCCAAAATGCTCCAGCATGATAGTAGCTTTCTTTGTACTTAGCAAACCAAAATTTTAATTACACATTGTAAACTATGCAAAGAAATAAAATTTTTAATCTTTATCATCTTAAGTTTCTTTCTCCTTTGTGCAGGTCCTCTGTGTATTGTTCCAGCCCCGGTATTGTGTTTTTTTGTTCTTTTTGGCCAAATGCGCTGCCAGGGCCGTGCATTTGGCCAAAAAGAAGAAAAAGACTTCAGTCAGGACAAGTTTTTCCTTCCGTCAATATGTATGGTAACCTGGAGTCACAATAAGCACTGGCTGTACTCCGCTCTGTATCCACCCACATTTCACACAGCTAGTCAATTTTAGCCTCCTTTAGCATTTCTATTTAATTAGTCTTTCCAACTTGAATATTGTTTCCAGTGTTTTAAAGGACACTTATTAAAGAACATTTATTGAAGGAAAAGTTTCACCCTGCATAGCTTCATCAGCCCTAAATGACAAACAGGCCCACTTGTCTGTGTGTATCACCATACCATTTACAACCATTCATAAATAATCCACACATATGAGACTGAAACTTATGACAATGTTTTGGTCAGAGTCAGATCAATAGCTAAAGGTATTTTTTTTTTTTTCAACAAGTCGGCAGTCTCCCACCGAGGCAGGGTGACCCAAAAAGAAAGAAAATCCCCAAAAAGAAAATACTTTCATCATCATACAACACTTTCACCTCACTCACACATAATCACTGTTTTTGCAGAGGTGCTCAGAATACAACAGTTTAGAAGTACGTATATACATATAAAGATACACAACATATCCCTCCAAACTGCCAATATCCTGAACCCCTCCTTTAGAGTGCAGGCATTGTACTTCCCATTTCCAGGACTCAAGTCCGGCTATATAAAAATAACTGGTTTCCCTGAATTCCTTCACTAAATATTACCCTGCTCACACTCCAACAGCTCGTCAGGTCCCAAATACCATTCATCTCCATTCACTCCTATTGAACACGCTCACACACGCCTGCTGGAAGTCCAAGCCCCTCGCCCACAAAACCTCCCTTACCCCTTCCTTTCAACTTTTTCGAGGATGACCTCTACCCCGCCTTCCTTCCCCTACAGATTTATACGCTCTCCATGTCATTCTACTTTGATCCATTCTCTCTAAATGACCAAACCACATCAACAACCCCTCTTCAGCCCTCTGACTTATACACTTTTATTAACTCCACACCTTCTCCTAATTTCCACACTCCAAATTTTCTGCATATTTACACCACACATTGCCCTTAGACAGGACATCTCCACTGCTTCCAACCACCTCCTCGCTGCTGCATTTACAACCCAAGCTTCACACCCATATAAGTGTTGGTACTACTATACTTTCATACAGTCCCTTCTTTGCCTCCATAGATAACGTTTTTTGTCTCCACATATACCTCAATGCACCACTCACCTTTTTTCCCTCATCAATTCTATGATTAACCTCATCCTTCATAAATCCATCTGCTGATATGTCAACTCCCAAATACTGTATCTGAAAACATTCACTTCTTCCATACTCCTCCTCCCCAATTTGATATCCAATTTTTCTTTATCTAAATCATTTGATACCCTCATCACCTTACTCTTTTCTATGTTCACTTTCAACTTTCTACCTTTACACACACTCCCAAACTCATCCACTAACCTTTGCAATTTTTCTTTAGAATCTCCCATAAGCACAGTATCATCAGCAAAAAGCAACTGTGTCAATTCCCATTTTGTATTTGATTCCCCATAATTTAATCTCACCCCTCTCTCCTGAACACCCTAGCATTTACTTCTTTTACAACTCCATCTATAAATATATTAAACAACCATGGTGACATTACACATCCCTGTCTAAGACCTACTTTTACCGAGTAGTAGTCTCCCTCTCTTCTACACACCCTAACCTGAGCCTCACTATCCTCATAAAAAAATCTTTACAGCATTTAGTAACTTACCACTTATTCCATATACTTGCAACATCTGCCACATTGCTCCCCTATCCACTTCCAAATCCATAAATACAATAAAAACTTCCCTACCTTTATCTGAATACTGTTCACATATATGCTTCAATGTAAACACTTGATCTACACATCCCCTACCCACTCTGAAACCTCCTTGCTCATCTGCAATTCTACATTCTGTCTTACCTCTAATCCTTTCAATAATAACCCTACTGTACACTTTTCCTGGTATACTCAGTAAATTTATTCCTCTATAATTTTTACAATCTCTTTTGTCCCCCTTCCCTTTATATAAAGGGACTATACATGCTCTCTGCCAATCCCTAGGTACCTTCCCCTCTTTCATACATTTATTAAACAAAAATACCAACCACTCCAATACTATATCCCCCCCTGCTTTTAACATTTCTGTCATGATCCCGTCAGTTCCAGCTGCTTTACCCCCTGTTGTTATATATTTCAGTCTCATATGTGTAGGTTATTTGTGTATTGTTTCAGTCATGGTATTGTGACTTTATTCTTTATTTACAACCATTGTTTTCAATATTTTTATTGACAGTGTAGTCATTTGTATTTTTTATAATTTCCCTGCCTCGGTTGGAGACGGCCGACTTGTTAAAAAAAAAAAAAAAAAAAAAACTTTGCATTGCAACCCATTATTGTAAATACATAATCTCAGTGTACTACATGTGTGTATTTGCAAAGACATAAATAAATAAATAAATATATGATTACAAATATAGACTATTCAGGACACTAGGCCTATTATAGAATTCTTAGTTTTATTTGTTCCCTAATAGCTGGGAAATTATTAGCAGTCTTGGTGGCAAGGAAACTGGATTTGAAACATTGTATCTGTACAGTAGTTTGCCTGAAGTGCATTTGCATACTAGTGTTTGTGACTAATAATGTTTTATCACATATAAACTACATTATCTTTGTACAGCATAAAAAGAAATAAAACTTTCAATTTATTGAATATATAATGTAAAGTCACCTAATTAGTGCATACCTTTACTTTTATGTACCACTGATCTAAGTTCAAATTTTATTCAGGAGAAATATATTTACTGAATCAGAAGCTTGTTCTGTAAACAGAAAAATTATGGTCACAACATCACAATGTAACTAAAATCATTCCTAATTCTTTACTGTAGATACTTTTGACGGGTCGTTATTTGAAAATTTTGTTGATACAATAATAAAATCTTTGTAAAAGATACTACAGTCATAAGTGTGGTACACAAGTGTGCATTGGATATATACGTAATAAGTTTTACATAACTGATGCAATATTACACTTTTGTCAAGATTTAAGGTAATGCTGACTGAATAAGCTTATCACCAACCTTGATCGTCAAAGGCATGTGCTAGCTCATGTCCCATCACTACGCCCACAGCACCATAGTTGAGTGACTTGGGATTATCTTTGTGGAAGAATGGAGCTTGAAGTATACCCGCTGGGAATACAATGTTATTTCTGAAAGAAAATGTATTGCAATAACAAGATGAATAAACATGTGAATGGGCAGGGGCTTGAATAACGGTCCATGTGACTGATTCAAGTCCACTTCTTTTACAGTGATAGTTTGAATGATGGTGAAAATGTTTCTTTTTCGGGTCACTATACCTCGGTGGGAGAAAGCCAGTGTGTAAAAAATAAAATGCAGAATTCAACACTGTATAGGACTGTATGGTGAAGTATTAGAATGAAGAGAGAAGCAGAACAGCAGTACCAAGAAATTACGATACAGGCAAACAAGAATTACATTTTTTATTTTATTAACACATTGGCTGATTCCCACCAAGGCAGGGTGGCCCGAAAAAGAAAAACTTTCATCATCATTCACTCCATCACTGTCTTGCTTTACGCTACAGTTATAAAACTGCAACATTAACACCCCTCCTTCAGAGTGTAGACACTGTACTTCCCATCTCCAGGACTCAAGTCCGGCCTTCCGGTTTCCCTGAATCCCTTCATAAATGTTACCTTGCTCACACTCCAACAGCATGTCAAGTATTAAAAACCATTTGTCTCCATTCACTCCTATCAAATACGCTCACGCACGCTTGCTGGAAGTCCAAGCCCCTCACACACAAAACCTCCTTTACCCCCCCCTCTAACCCTTTCTAGGCCGACCCCTACTCCACCTTCCCTCCACTACAGATTTATACACTCTCGAAGTCATTCGGTTTTGTTCCATTCTCTCTACATGTCCGAACCACCTCAACAACCCCTCCTTAGCCCTCTGGATAATAGTTTTGGTAATCCCACACCTTCTCCTAATTTTCAAACTACGAATTCCCTGCATTATATTCACACCACACATTGCCTTCAGACATGACATCTCCACTGCCTCCAGCCTTCTCCTCGCTGCAACATTCATCACCCATGCTTCACACCCATACAAGAGTTTTGGTACAACTATACTCTCATACATTCCCCTCTTTGCTTCCACAGACAAAGTTCTTTGTCTCCACAGACTCCTAAGTGCACCACTCACCCTTTTCCCCTCATCAATTCTATGATTCACCTCCTCCTTCATAGACCCGTCTGGTGACACGTCCACTCCTAAATATCTGAATACATTCACCTCCTCCATACTCTCTCCCTCCAATTTGATATCCAATCTTTCACCACCAAATCTTTTTGTTATCCTCATAACTTTACTCTTTCCTATATTCAATTTTAATTTTCTTCTCTTACATACACTACCAAATTCATCCACCAACCTCTGCAGGTTGGTGGATGAATTTGGTAGGGGATGAATTACATAACCTAAAACAAGCATCAGAGGAAGTTGGCAGAATATTTCAAGAAGCATTTATTTATTGCTGCAGTATACAAAATGTAGTTTACATGTAATAAACTATTGTTAAGCACAAGAGAAAGCCACTAGCATGTGGCACATTTTGGGTAAACTTAAATAATTGCCAGAAATGGAGGGCTCTCCCCTCCCCTCCTGCAAGGAACACTGAAACAGGTAGTATTTATAAACTGAAGAAGAAGAAGAGATATTAGCATTACTAAAGAAGCTAAATGTGGGAAAAATCATGTAATCAAACATTATCTCACCATTATAATGATGGCAAGAGCTGATGCTCTGAAGATTTTACTAACACTTTTCAAGAGTCTTAACTGTACTAATATACAAAACATCTACACTTATTATTGTGCCTACTACATACACAGAACACTATACTCTAATGTAAACCCTCCTCTCAAACTCCTCCTTGATAACTATAACAGAACACACAACCATAATATGAGACAGATCACTCTTCGATATCCCCTGTGTTCATCTTTCCCTATGCAAAAATGCTATGCATGTAAAAGGCCCGAAGAACTGGAATTCCTTGCCAGAACAAACTAAAGGACCCCTGTCTGCAAATCAGTTTAAGGCCCAAATAAGAAATCACCTCATCATCCAAAATTAACCAGACAAACAGTACCTAACCACTACCAGTTTCTCAAGAGCTACTCATATTGTGCTGATGAATGCTCAACCACTTACTACTTTGAAATTAGGATGTCTGTTCTTTTTAATGTTTTATGTAGTAGTAGATTGTAATACAGTACATCATAATGCAAATTGTTTTATTGTAATACCAAATTTCTTTGTTTTAAACAGTACTAAACTGTAATACATCACACTGTAAATCATTTTAAATTGTTACAATGTAATACTGTATCTTTATTAACTAATTCAATAGTGTAGAGTCTCTACTACACTTATCAAAACCATGTATAATACTATATTATATAATATTATATTCTCCTGTACTCACTCTAACTCATCTAATGACCATATGAACTATGTATTATTCTATGTACTAGTCTTAAGTTAATCTTTAAGTTTGCCCAAAATGCTCAGTATACAGAGGGGCTTTTGACATGTACACCCAACTATTATATTCCTCTGTACAACCATGTAATTTGTCAAAATAAAAAATCTAATATAATCTAAATTATAGTATATCAGAGGTAGGAGCAATACCAGAAATCTAGAGAATTGTAAACATAGTACCAAATTAAGAAAGGGAACAGACAAAAACTTTGTTATATTCTGGTGCCAGCATCTCTGACATGTATATTGCTTTCTACAAAATGTTGGAGAAGATTATAAGAATAACTAATGGCAAGCTCTGTGGAGGAGAAAATTCACCATATGTTGACAATATAGATCCATAAAAAATATCACACATCACTAACCTACCTGAGCTCAACTGTAAGATGAAAGAGAATGCCCAAAATGCATTTTCCTGAGCTATCAGAAGGCATTTTGTATGGCAGCTCAAAGGTGACTAATTTAGACTGAAAAAATCAGGATTATAAGAGAGAACATTCATAGAGAGAGAAATGTTGGACTGGAGAGAAATAACAACCAGAGTTTTCTAAACATCAGATATGAGTACCCTCATCTTTCACAGACCAATATACTGACATGTCTACTCCCAAATATCTATATACCTTTAATACACATGATTTTTAGGTTAAATTGGATCTGTGCTCCAGTTCCCCGAATTAAGCCTGAATGCCTTCCACATCCCCCCCCCAGGCGCTGTATAATCCTCCGGGTTTAGCGCTTCCCCTTGATTATAATAATAATTTAGGTTAAATTAAAATAAGTGGCCAGTGCTGATGTACAGCTTATTTCTCACAAAGAACACTTATTTTGTCAAGGCAAAATGTAACATTTAAAAACTGATTTAGTTGTTATGAAATTCATGAGCTCAAGTAATATTTACTACAGTATACAAATATTGAAACATTGTGATAAATAACCCAAACTTTGGAGAGGAAACTTTGGAAGCGTTTGTCCATCCTAGACAACTGATCACAAAAATGGGGAAAAAGCCAAAAAACTGAGTTATGACTTGACAGTGATCCAGGACAGACTGAAATGTTATCTACAGCTTCTTGTCTAAGTGAGAACTAGATGAATAAAATCAATGATCAACAACTGGGTATCTTTATCATGGAGATACAGTACTTCACCAACCAGCATCTCCATGATACAGATACCTATGTACTGTACTTATGTCTTATTTATATACTTGTCAGTTTTATAATAAAGGTGGGAGATGGCCAATTTGTCGAAATAAAGAATATTTATAGTACTAAATAGTTTTCAGACATAGTATTATGACATATTCTTCACTGAACCATTTTAATATACTTCTATTTAATTTTTACCTCGTTGGAGAATAATACGCATTCACTGTCGGAGGAGACATGTCCCATCGAGTCTTGTTCACGGGCTTGAACAAACGAGCCAAATTCTCTTGAACATTGAAGTTGTTGACACGGACATTATTTTGGAAGAATTCATTTTCTTTTACTTTTAGATCAGCAAACTTTGCGTCCAGTTCCACTGGACTGAGAATATAGTCAGGGAATCCTGAGGGAAATAAAATACAGAAATTTAAAATCTACCTGAATGTGGTTTTGTTGACCCATAATAATATTACAGTATGTAATTTTTCAGCAAGAGAAATTTTCAGAGCTGAAAATACTTTACCAATCATTTCAGATATAGAGGAAGCTTTATCAATGGCAGCTTTCAGTGTTTTTTTATCCATCCAGTGAACAGACTCCAAATTTTCTTTGAAAGTTTTTCGAACTCTCTTAATCATCTCTTCAGCCTAAAAAATAAGGAAAAATTATGAAAACATTCAATAAACTTTTTCAATGAACAAGTACGTACAGTGGAACCTCAAATATCGAACTGCTCCCAACTTAACCAATTATGTAAGTGTATTTTTGTAAGTGCTCTTATAAGTGTATTTTTGAGGGTCTGAAATGAACTACAGGTCTCCCTCAACATTCGCGAGGGTTAGGGGATCAAGAGCCTCGCGAATGTTGAAAAACCGTGAATGTTTGGCGCCCCAATATATTGTAGGGAAATATATTACAATACTGCTTCCTTAACTTGTTGAACCATGAATAATCATAAAATACATGAAAATGTCATAAATTGTACTAAATATATACATGTTATGCTTTAATAACGTATATTATTTAATAACATGTATGTTAATAACATGTATGTTATTAAATACCACAGACTCCACCACTGCAAGTCCCTACTACCCTCCTCCGACCCCCGCAACTGGAAGCCAGCCCTCCACCACTCGTGTGGTGAGTGTTTTGTTTGTTCATTATTTGCTATTAAACTACAGAATAAATATGTAAAACCATTCATGACTGATATTGGAATGGCTTTATTCGGACAGGTATTAGACGGTGACATCATGTGTTTACTCTTGAAACAGCAAAGATCGAACATTTCTGCTATTGCTAATAATAACAATAGTAATAATAATAATAATAATAATAATAATAATATATAATAATAATAATAATAATAAATGTGATATAATTGAAGAAGGAAATTGTACAAAAATACGAGGGAGTGGTTGACACACCGTCAGTGTGACTTTGTTTATGCTGGAGTGAACATTAGTCTCCCTGCTCTTCCAAACATTTCACAATAATTCAGCGGTTGAGGCAGTGGTATTTAATAACATATATGGTTTTGTGGGCAAGGGGCTTGGACTTCCAGCAAGCGTGCGTGAGCGTGTTAGATAGGAGTGAATGGAGACAAATGGTATTTGGGATCTGACGATCTGTTAGAGTGTGAGCAGGGTAATATTTAGTGAAGGGATTCGGGGAAACCGGTTATTTTCATAGAGTCGGACTTGAGTCCTGGAAATGGGAAGTACAATGCCTGCACTTTAAAGGAGGGGTTTGGGATATTGGCAGTTTGGAGGGATATGTTGTGTATCTTCATATGTGTATGCTTCTAAACTGTTGTATTCTGAGCACCTCTGCAAAAACAGTGATAATGTGCGAGTGTGGTGAAAGTGTTGAATGATGATGAAAGTATTTTCTTTTTGGGGATTTTCTTTCTTTTTTGGGTCACCCTGCCTCGGTGGGAGACGGCCGACTTGTTGAAAAAAAAAAAAAAATGTTATAAATAATAATAGTACATGTTATTATTAATAACATGTATTATTATTAACATGTATGTATTTAATAACATATGTTTTAAATAATAATAGTACATATTATTAATAACATGTATTATTATTAACATGTATGTTATTAAATACCATTGCCTCAATCACTGCCTCTACCACTCCAGTCACACTCAATCTACAAGCACCAAACACAATGAATTATTGTGAAATGTTTGGAAGAGCAGGGAGACTAATGTTCACTCCAGCATAAACAAAGTCACATGACGATGTGTCAACCACTCCCTCGTATTTTTGTACAATTTCCTTCTTCAATTATATCATATTTATTATTATATTATTATTATTACTATTGTTATATTAGCTGTAGCAGAAATGTTTAATTCTTTGCAGTGTTCAAGAGTAAACACATGATGTCACCGTCTAATACCTGTCCGAATAGCCATTCCAATATGCAGTCATGAATGGGTTTACATTATTTATTCTGTAGTTTAATAGCAAATAATGAACAAACAAAACACTCACCACACTGAGTGGTGGGAGGGCTGGCTTCCAGTTGCGGGGGTCGGAGGGAGGGTAGTAGGGACTCGCAGGTGGCGGGAAACTTAAATATGATTTGGCGGCTGGGAATTTGGCGGTTGGGAATTCGCGAATGTGTGAAGCCCGTGAAAGTTGAAAACGTGAATGTTGAGGGAGACCTGTAATAAATAACAAAAAGGCACAATACCGTGACTGGAACGATACACAAATAACCCGCACATAAAAGACAGAAGCTTACGACGACGTTTCGGTCCTACTTGGACCATTGACAAAGACCATTTTCAAAAGTACCAACCAGTTTAAAGTAAATGTTGAATTATGGATTCAAATTCAAATTCAAATTTTTATTTCTTTGTGCCATACACAGATTATGGATTTGACATGTAATACAATATACTGTTAGGCACAAAGTAAAGCCACTAGTATGCAGTGCATTGCAGGCAAGATGGATCGAATCTCAGCAAATATACTGTCAGTGATAAACTCATCAACTTTGTAATTCTGATTCCACCTTCAATTTCCTTACCAAGTGTAATAAGTAAACTAAGATATATAATCAAATTTATAATTTTTTGGAGCTTCATTTTGCAAAAAAAAAAAAAGTTTTACAGGAAATATTTTTATTGGAAATAATTTGTAATGAATTTGCAAAATTCTGTTTTAATAAGGACAGAAATCAGATGACTTGACTACAAGAAAAAGCATCAGAATATAAAGCATGTCCTAATAGAAATAAATTTTAGAAAGATATTCTACACAATGGTTTATTATATTCAAAAACACCAAGTAAATATTTTTTTTCACATTGTATTTCCTTGAGATAAAAAAGTATGAATTATTGAATACTGTAACCGAGGCTAGATACATACCATCTCCTTTGACTCGGTATGGAAAGCTTCACGAATATACATGGCACCAACAGCAGGCCCCAGAGCTGCATCTGTTGCCACAACACACTCTCTCCAGGTCTCCTCGGTACCAACTACTCCCATCTGTGCCTTTTCAAGTACTTTAGCAGCTTCTCGGAACTCTTGAGATAAGAAGCCAACATAGTTACGAACAACCTGCCACACCAGGTAGTTGTGGAGGTTTCTGATGTAAAGATATGATGTACATTGATGTTAAAAGAATTAATTCATACTGTGACCTTCATATAATTTGTGTAAGAAAATTATTCACTTATAGAACGAACATTAATATTTGTGGAGACAACTGACATATAGTTGACAAGTGGTGAAAAAGAAATAATTGCAGAAAGGAACTTTAGAGCTGAAGAAGTCTGTCCACCCGGCAAAATATCTCAATTAAGTTCCTTTCTGCAACTGTGAGTGTGTTCACCATCACTATTTTGTATCTAATGAAAACTTTTATATACTATTCACTGGTTCCCTTCCCTTCATGCTTCTTGTGACTAGTTAATGGTCCAGTCAGACCAAAATGCTTTTGTGTTTCATTCTCATATATGTAGGTTATTTGTGTAGTGTTTTAGTTATTCACAAAGTATTTTAGTAAAATTCGTAAACATGACTTAGTACTGATTCTCACATCACGTCTTCCTAAAAGCATATGATCAAACAAATATATAAAAATATAATATGAAACAACTGAATTTCTTAAATATAAACAACACTTGAAGAAGGCGAATAAACTATATATCGTTAAAATAACGTTAATTTACAGGTATCTAAAAAAAACAGTCATGGGTGCGGAAAGAGTTGCATGTTACATTAACAGAAAAGTTAGTAGTATTTTATTTAGCAGATGTTATAGGCAGGTATAGCTTAGGACATGGGAAGTACCCTGCATGCCAGTGTAGCCATGATGACAGTATTATATTCAAAGGGAAGCACTAAACTCATTAAGATCACAGAGTATCTTGGGAATGGGTGAGGTAGGGTAATCAGGTTTGTTCTGAGGAAGGTGAGGGGGTAACTTCAATAAAATATATTGAGGATCTTAAAAATGTAATTTACTCAGCAATGAAACAGAAGTTGGAGGTAATTAACACCATCTGACAAGTCTCTTGCTTCCACAAGGAATGATTCTGAAGTGCATATTTGAGACCATCCTTTCCAGGATTTTCAGGTGTAAATTGTGATATACCTTTCTTGCCTATGTTTTAAGGAATGCATTTGAAGGCATTTCAGACATTCCCAGTAATTTAGATGTTTGATTAAGTGTATATGGGCACTGAAAGCCCACTGTACATTTTCTAGCTTGGTAATCTCACTTGCCTTAAAGGGAGCTGTTGGTATACATTAGTATTCCAGCCCGGAGAGTGTCATCAATGGCTTAGCATCCCTTGTCTTGAAACTTCTAGTTATTCAGCTTATCATTTTTCTTGCTGTAGCATTAGCAACATTGTTGCAAGCCTTGAATGCGAGATCTTATGATATTATTACTCCCAGGTCTCACATATAAAGCTTCGGTTCTACTGAATGATACGCGTTTGTCCTGTAACCCATTTCAGTCTTTATTTCCTCCGTTTTTTGCATAGCAGAGCATAGCAGAGCAGAAATGGGAAGTACAATGCCTGCACTTTAAAGGAGGGGTTTGGGATATTGGCAGTTTGGAGGGGTATGTTGTGTATCTTTATATGTGTATGCTTCTAAATTGTTGTATTCTGAGCACCTCTGCAAAAACAGTGATAATGTGTGAGTGTGGTGAAAGTGTTGAATGATGATGAAAGTATTTTCTCTTTGGGGATTTTCTTTCTTTTTTTTTTTGGGGTCACCCTGCCTTGGTGGGAGACGGCCGACTTGTTGAAAAAAAAAAAAATATATACAGTGGACCCCCGCTTAACGATCACCTCCAAATGCGACCAATTATGTAAGTGTATTTATGTAAGTGCGTTTGTACGTGTATGTTTGGGGGTCTGAAATGGACTAATCTACTTCACAATATTCCTTATGGGAAAAAATTCGGTCAGTACTGGCACCTGAACATACTACTGGAATGAAAAAAGTTCGTTAACCGGGGGTCCACTGTATATATATATTTTTTTTTTTTCAACAAGTCGGCCGTTTCCCACCGAGGCAGGGTGACCCAAAAAAAAAGAAAGAACGAAAATCCCCAAAAAGAAAATACTTTCATCATCATTCAACACTTTCACCACACTTGCACATTATCACTGTTTTTGCAGAGGTGCTCAGAATACAACAGTCTAGAAGCATACACATATAAAGATACACAACATATCCCTCCAAACTGCCACAATATATATATATATATTTTTTTTTTTTTTTTTTCAACAAGTCGGCCGTCTCCCACCGAGGCAGGGTGACCCAAAAAAGAAAGAAAATCCCCAAAAAGAAAATACTTTCATCATCATTCAACACTTTCACCACACTCGCACATTATCACTGTTTTTGCAGAGGTGCTCAGAATACAACAGTCTAGAAGCATAAACATATAAAGATACACAACATATCCCTCCAAACTGCCAATATCCCAAACCCCTCCTTTAAAGTGCAGGCATGTACTTCCCATTTCCAGGACTCAAGTCCGACTATATGAAAATAACCCGGTTTTCCCTGAATCCCTTCACTAAATTTACCCTGCTCACACCCAACAGATCGCGGGCCCCAAGTCCCATTCTTTCCCCATTCACCCCCTTTTAAACCCTCAGCCGCTTGCTGGAAGTCCAACCCCTTCCCACAAAAACCCCTTTAAAACCCCCTCTCCCCAACCCTTTCGAGGACGACCCACCCCCCCTTTCCCCTTCCCTTGATTTATAGTTTTCCCCTGTCATTCTACTGTGATCATTCTCTCTAAAGACCAAACCCACCCAAAAACCCCCTCTTCTCCCTCTGCAATACTTTATTAACTCCACATTTCCCCAAATTTTCCCACACTCCGAATTTTTGCATAATATTTAACCAAAAATTCCCCTTTAAACGGGAAATTTCCCCCGCTCCCTCCAACCGTCCCCCTCGCTGCTGCTTTTACCCCCAAGCTTCCCCCTTAAGAGTGTTGGTATACTATCTTTCATACATTCCCTTTTTTGCCCCCATAGTTAACTTTTTTTTGACTCCAATATCTCAACGCACCCCCCCCTTTTTTTTCCCTCATCAATTCTTGTTAAACCCTCATCCTTCAAAAACCCTTCCCCCCGCACGTAAACCCCCAAGTATCTAAAAAACTTTCACTTCTTCCAACTCCCCCCTCCCAATTTGATATAATTTTCTTTATCTAAATATTTGACACCCTCATCCCCTTTATCTTTTTTGTTCCTTTCAACTTTCTACCTTTACACACATTCCAAACTCCAAAACCCTTTTGCAATTTTTTTTTAAATTCCCATAAGACAGTTCATAAAAAAAGTACTGTGTCAATTCCCTTTTGAATTTGTTCCCCATAATTTAATCCCCCCCCCTCTCCCAAACCCCCTGCATTTACTTCCTTTAAAACCTCTATAAATTTTAAAAAAACCATGGTGAATTAACATCCTGTTAAAGACCTATTTTACCGGGAAAAGTTTTCCCCCCTCTCTTCTACACACCCCAACCTGAGCCACATCCTCAAAAAAACTCTTTACAGTTTAATAACTTACCACCTATTCCAATATTGCAACCTGCCCATTGCTCCCTATAAATCTATCATATCCCTTTTTCAAATCCATAAATGCAATAAAAATTTCCCTATCTTTATCTAAAATACTGTTAAATTATGCTTAAATTGAAAACCTGATCTACAATCCCCTCCCCACCTAAAACCCCTTGCCATCCGCAATCCTACTTCTGTCTTACCCTAATTTTTTTCAATTAAAAACCCTACCGTACATTTTTCCTGGTATACAGAAAGCTTTTCCTCTATAATTTTTACGTCTCTTTTGTCCTTTCCTTTATATAAAGGGACTATACATGCTCTCTGCCAATCCCTAGGTACCTTCCCCTCTTTCTAATTTTTTAACAAAGTCCCAAACCATCCAACACTATACCCCCCCTGCTTTTAACATTTTGTCTGCCCCACAGTTCCAGCTGCTTTACCCCCTTTCATTTTACGAAAATGCCTCAGTACCTCCCCCACACTTCATTCTGCTCTTTTTCACTCAAAAGATGGTATCCCTCCCTGCCAGGCATGAAATTTACTGCCCCCCTTTTTTCCTAACTTTTTAAAATTTCCCTAAAAATATTCTCGCCATCTACCCAAACCCCCATCTCCCTTTATAACTCCCTACTTTTTTTAAAAATGACAAAAATCCCCAAATTTTTCCCAGCTTTTTAAACTTGTTTAACCACTCCAAAATTTTTCTTTTTTCATTAAAATTTCTTGACTGCCTCTCCCCCCTCTTCATCTGCTCTCCTTTTGCACTCTCTCACCCCACTCTCTTTACCTTTCTTTTAAACCCCCATATACTTGCTCTTCTTATAAAAACTTTTTCTTTGTAAAAAACCCCTTTATAAGCTCCTTTTTCCTTTTATCACACCTTTACCTTCTCTTCCACCAATCACTCCTCTTTTCCCCCTTTTTGCCCCCCCCCTCCTATAAAACCCCAAACTTTTGCCCCCCATTTTCTAAAATTCTGCATTTTTAAAATATTCCAACCCCCTTCAAAAAACCCCCCCCCTACTATCTTTGCCTGCCCACCTTTCCCAATAGTCGCTTATTTCTCCCCGAACTTCCCCCCCCCCCTTGTTTTTTTAAATTTCACTTCCCTCTTACTTTTTGTTGCCACCCTTCCCTTTTCCATTAAAACCCCTTTTCTCTAACTGTGCACAAATAAATAAAGATCCGATATACAGTTGCCCCTCTAAAAAATGTCACCTGGAGCCCAACCCCCAACCCTTTTTTCCCCCAATCATAATTAATAAACTACTTTCATTACGTGAAAATCAACCTTTTATATTTATTTTCCTTTTTTCATAAAAAAGTATTACTTTACCAAATTTTTTCTCACATAGCTCAAATTAAAGGCTCCCCCTTTACATTTACCCCCCCCCCCCCCCCCCCCCCCCCCATTTTTTCCCATTTAATAAAAACCCAAAACCCCTTTTCCACTTTTATTAAAATCCCCACCATTCCTCAAAAAATTTTCCCCAAAACTCCCCCCTCTAAAATTCCCTCTTTCCTCTTACACTTTTTTTTCCCCTTTTTTACATCAACTTTTTTTAAAACCCCCTTTTAAATCATTTTATTTTTTCCCCAATTATCCTTAAAATTATCTTTTTCCTCTTTCCCTTTTTTTAAACCCCCCAACCCCTTTTTTCCCCCCCCTGAAACCTCTACCCCCCCATTTGAAAAAACCGGGCTAACTTTTTCCTTCTAAATCCCAACTTCCCTTTTTTCACTGCCACCATCCAGCCTTCAAATTTAAATTTACAATTTTTTTCTTTTTTTTTTTATAATCTTTACAAGGGGGAAAAGGGGCTACCCCTTGTTCCCCCCTTTTGGGAAAATTTTCCAATCTTAAGGAAAATTTTTTTTAACCCCCGGAAAAAAAGGTTAATAAAACCCATTGTTCCCGGGTTTTTAAAATTTGATTTTTTAAAACCATGGTAGAAAAAAGAAATTTAATCCCCTTCATATTTAAGAAAAAAAAGACAAGAACCCCCTTAGTAAAACAAAAAACCTTGTTTTAAAATTTGGCAGGAGGTAGTTACCTTGGGTGGGTTTTGGGTTCCCAAATCCTTAAATTTTAAAAAATTTTTTTTTAAAAAACCAGGAACCAGGGGGGTCCCCAAAAGGAAAAAAAAAAATTTTTTTCCTTTCTTTTTAATAATTGGAGGAAGGGGGAGTTCTCCTGGTTTTTGCGTTTACAACCACCATATTTTTAAAATTCTTTTTCCCCCCCAGGGATAAGAGGCGGGGTGAAAAAAAAAACCCAAAGGGGGGTTTCTCCTTTAAAATTTAGTTAAATTAACAAAATGGGGAAGAAGGGTGAAAAAAAAAAAAACCCCGAAAATCTTTTTATTTCCCTTTTAACACCCTTTTTGCTTTTCGGTGGAAAAATCCATTAGAAATAAGAGGAAATAACAAAACCCCCAAAGCCTATAAAAAAATGGGGGACCCCCCAAGGGGTGTTTTTAAAAAAAATATTTAATTATTATTTAAATTTTTAATTTTTTTTTTTTAAGTCGGCCCTCTCCCACCAAAGGGGGGGACCAAAAAAAGAAAGAAAAAACCCCCCAAAAGAAATACTTTCATCCTTCAAACTTTACCCCATCAACATTATCATGTTTTTTTGCAGAGGTGCTCAGAATACAAAAGTTTAGAAGCATACACATATAAAGATACACAACATATCCCTCCAAACTGCAATATCCCAAACCCCTCCTTTAAAGTGCAGGCATTGTACTTCCCATTTCCAGGACTCAAGTCCGACTATATGAAAATAACCGGTTTCCCTGAATCCCTTCACTAAATATTACCCTGCTCACACTCCAACAGATCGTCAGGTCCCAAGTACCATTTGTCTCCATTCACTCCTATCTAACACGCTCACGCACGCTTGCTGGAAGTCCAAGCCCCTCGCCCACAAAACCTCCTTTACCCCCTCTCTCCAACCCTTTCGAGAGCGACCCCTACCCAATCCAATGGATGCAACTTTCACCGAGATTCTAGTGTCATCAGCAAAGATGTTATGATGCTTCAGAATAAAATATGAATGAAAACCTTACCAGACAAGATAACCTCAGAAGTAATGAGCAGATGCCAAGGTAGATGCATAATATTGTTCATGGTTTGTATTTATTTAAAAATTAGCTGCCATTTTGAGTGGCTCAGTGGGCCTGCAGGGTATCTCACACCATGGAATAAAAGCTACAGTAAGAGCCTGGTTGATCAGGCACTGATCCACTGCAAGGCCTGGTCAAGGACTGGGCCACAGGGGTGTAGACCCCAGAAAACCCTCCAGGTATACTCCAAGGACAGACATAAACTAGATACACACAAACAATATCAACTAATTTAACCCAAAATGGGAAAAAATCTTTAACAAAAATTAATGTCTTAAAAGAAGGTGCTGGAAATCAATAAAGGATGGGATACCATGATCTTAGTTCTGCTGGTGTACTTACAAATGGGGGAATTATAAGTTGGTAATCACAATACACAAGAGCACTTTCTATAACACTTTACCATCTTCACCCCTCAAGGGAGGTTCCTTGATGCTGGTGAGGGGCTCTTGATCTAGGGAATTGGATCTGTGCTCCAGTTCCCTGAATTGAGCCTGAATGCCTTCCATCCCTCCCCCCATGTGCTGTATAATCCTATGGGTTTAGCACTCCCCCATGATTATAGTAGTAGTAGTTTACCATCTTCTGCAACATCTAAATTGCCTGTAACACTGTTTTTGTCATGATCTATGTATGAGAGGGCAATGTACATATCTCGTAGCTGGATCACCAGCGCATTCAGCTCACACACAGGTCCGGGGGTTGATCCCTGGTATGGCTGGAAACATTAGGATGTGTTTCCTTAAGACACCTGCTGTCCACTGTTCACCCATAAGTAAAATAGGTACCTGGATGTTAGTGGACTGGTGTGGGTCGCATCCTGGGACAAAATTGACCTAATTTGCGGGAAATGCTCTGTATAACAAGGGGCTTTCTATACAGCAGTATGTCACTGATAACAGCTAGGCCTGTAGACCTTGTACATATACTTGTAGAAATAAAGATTATTATTATTATTATTACTTGTGGTGAAACTGACAAACTAAGTGTTTCCCCTCTTGCTGCTTTCCATCTTCACTGCCTTCCATCTTCACTGCCTTCCATCTTCACTGCCTTCCATCTTCACTGCCTTCCATCTTCACTGCCTTCCATCTTCACTGCCTTCCATCTTCACTGCCTTCCATCTTCACTGTCTTCCATCTTCACTGCTTTCCATCTTCACTGTATGGTGATTGTTCTACCATATTATATTACTACTACTACAGCAACTAATATTAATACTACTACTATTACCTCTAGTATTGCACCTCATTCTAAGCCTATATATACCCTCTGTGTCCATGTATTGTTTGTAGCGGCTTGATAAAGCTCCTGGAGAGCGAAACATTGCCACAATAAAATGTCACATTTGTTGCATCTGTATCCATTTACTTATCCTATTTTCATGTTCTGAATTATATCTACAAATGTATTTCATGTTGAAAAAGAGAGAAATTAATAGCAGTGTTTAAGAGCTACATGTAAATAAGCTTTTGAATATGGGTACACATAAGTACAGTTTTCATACATAGTGTGTGTTTTGTGTATATAAAACACACTCTCCTATGTGCCCATCAGGTAGGCACTCTGCAATATGTTGTATATGAATGGTATACAATACTGACAAAATGAAAATTAGACACATGTGCAACATCTGGGTATCTTCACTGTAGATGTTTTGCCAACCAGTGACTTCATCAATACAAATTCAAGAACAAAACTGGAAGCCAGTAGAACTATATACGAAAGATGAGGTAATCAGTCCCTCCCAACTCCAAGGCTGAGGGACTGATTACCTCATCTTTTGTATATAGTTCTACCACCTTCCAATTACATCCTTGAATTTGTATTGATAAAGCCACTGGTTGGCAAAACATCTACAATAAAGATATCCAGATGTTGCACATGTGTCTAATTTTCAGTCTGCAATATATAACAGTCTTGACAATGGTTGATGCCTGTGTGTATTACCACCTGCTCACCCACGTGCCATAGCATTCTGCTTTTGGTGTTCAAGAATACTTTCGCAAATGTTTCCAGAAAACACCCAGTGTTAGTGCATCCTACACTATCCAAAAAAGTCATGCACATATTAATGTACAAAACAAGGACAAGAATCATTTGCTATATAAAAAAATGCTCGAACTTACAAAATTCCATCTGGTGTGGTCGTGTTTTGAAGGATCTTTCCAAGACTCTTCAAAAATTCTGGGGCATATACAACTACATGTTCTGATCCACTTAAGTGTTTATTGACTTTAGTAAATGCAGAATTAATAAAAGTTCCCCAGTCCATCTGAAAAGTCAGAAAATGTACGTCATATACTGTTCATGAATATAATACAGATAAATGGATATATTTTATTTACATACTAGTTTGGCAGTTTGGAGGGATATGTTGTGTATCTTTATATGTGTATGCTTCTAGACTGTTGTATTCTGAGCACCTCTGCAAAAACAGTGATAATGTGCGAGTGTGGTGAAAGTGTTGAATGATGATGAAAGTATTTTCTTTTTGGGGATTTTCTTTATTTTTTGGGTCACCCTGCCTCGGTGGGAGACGGCCGACTTGTTGAAAAAAAAAAAAAAAAAAACTAGTACAGTGCTGGCACTTTGAAGGAGGGGTTTTAATGTTGCAATTTTATAACTGTACTGTAAGTGCACCTCTGGCAAGACAGTGATGAGGTGAATGATGATGAAAGTTTTTCTTTTTCAGGCCACCCTGCCTTGGTGGGAAATGGTTGATGTGTTAATAAAAACAAAAATGACTGTTTTTTCTAGAATCTTAAGTGGATCATCATAAACGTATCTAAGAGCGTCACTTACTGCTTCCTTAACCTTGTAGGTTACCAGGGTCACTTAGTGAGTTATAATACTTCTATAATCTAACTCATGTGACCTTTTTCACCTGACTAAAACAATAATTCTATAATATCTTTTGACTACTGCCCCCAGGATGGGTATGGGGTGCATAACAGAGATATTAAACTAACTAACAAGCCTTCAGAGCTACTGTACCAATTTATATGGCTATCTGTATAATCATTTGTAAATTTCCTGAATATAACTTTACTTAACATTACTTACAAATGGTGCAATGGCATTGAGCTCATCTATAGACATGATGTGGTACAACTTATCATCATCTCTGCGCTCATCATCAGGAGTTGTGATAGTAGCCAACTGATGTTCAACTTTCAAGATGCCAGTTGCTGCCTGTCTGGTGGCCTCTTCTTCCCCTCCCAGTAGCACACCAACCTGTTCAATAACAAAAAAAGTTGTCATTTATAGAAACATTTAACGTACCTGCAATGTATGATACACTGTGAATTATTATGTTATCATCAGCATTTCAGAATTTTGTATAAATCACAATAATGACTGGAATAATTTGCTGTTAACCCACCTAGGTAGGATAACACATGAAAGGAAATACATTTGCCATCATTCATTCAATAGCTGTCTTAACAGAAGTGATTAGGCATCACAATTAAAATGACTCTTGAACTGTAACATCCTCACCCCTCCTTCAGAGAGCAGACACTGTACTTCCTATCTCCAGTTTCCCTGAATCCACTCATATATGTTACCTTGTTCACACTACTACAACAACACATCAGATCCTTTGTTATATATTTAATGTAAAAACCATAAAAATTTTTTGACTATTACAATCTTTGCTTCATATTACCTTTGTTATATACTCAATGTAAGCATCAACAACATCTTTTTCAGATTCGTTGAGGTAGTAGTTGCGAGCCGGGAGAGTTAAACCACCTTGATCAAACTGTAAAAAATAAAGGATTAGATTTATATATTTTAATCTATGACTTGTGCCAGGAATATTAATCTATATAACTTACATTGCACTCTATTAGCCACCAATAATTAGCCTGACACCCAATATTTGCCTTAAAGTATAAAATTATCATTAGATTTATCTTAATCTAAGACCAATTCAAGACAGAAATGAGTTCCTTAAAAAAAGAGTGACAATGTTCTAGACTTGAGGCTCATGAGATATTATATGACTTAGTTTCTACAGAGCCAACTATTCTGTAGGTCTATCAAGTTACTTGCATTTGATGGAAAAATTGATCTCAGACAGCAGGATATGTATAATCTGGCATTCTCTGAATTTACTTGGTATGCACATCTTTAACCCCCACACCTCCCCATATATTGGTATCAGAGTTAACCATTAATGTAAGAATTTTTCTGTGCTATACAAAAATCTCCAAACATGGAAAATCTTGATATCACCATGTATGTTATAACATTAAAAATTTTACAAAGATAACTTTGCTTAAAATATAAAGGCTTCAGAGAAAGCTAACCATCCCATATAACACAATTTTTTTTTTAAGACAAAAGTAGCTTGCCTTTGCATTACGACTCCTCAAGGAAGGTTCCTTGATGCTGGTGAGGGGCCCTTGATCTAGGGAATTGGGTCTATGCTCCAGTTCCCCGAATTAAGCTGAAGGGCTCTGGTGGCCTGGTGGCTAACGCTCTCGCTTCACACGGCGAGGGCCTGGGTTCGATTCCCAGCCAGAGTAGAAACATTGGGTGTGTTTCTTTCCACCTGTTGTCTATGTTACCCATCAGTAAAATGGGTACCTGGGTGTTAGTCGACTAGTGTGGGTTGCATCCTGGGACACTGACCTAATTTGCCCGACATGCGGAGCATAACAAGGGGCTTTCTATATAGTAGTATGTCATTGGTGTTAGTTAGGACTGTATACCATGTACATGTACTTGTAGTAAATAAAGATATTATTATACCTGCCACATCCCCCCCACAGGCGCTGTATAATCCTATGGGTTTAGCGCTTTCCCCTTGATTATAATAATAATAATACGTAATTGCATTGTGAAAATTTAAATTCCACTAACCTCTCTCCCTCTACAATGGGTCACCACAGTTCAGTACATGAGCGCTCTAAGAAATGGCTTCTCTGAGAAGACAACAGTACAGTAACAAACCCTATATATAAGTCCTATACATACCTATTATAAAGTTTAATTGATAAATTATGCACAATAAGTGGAGAATTATCAGTATTACACTGATGGGATACACTTTACGGCTTCTCTTAGGCTTTGAAGAACTGCCAGCTTCTCTACTTTTGCACTCTGGGACCATTATTATGCAATATTAAGAGGTATTTTTGGGCCACAGTAAACTCGACATTATTATGCAATTAAGAGTTTTGGCCCAGTAACTGCTGAAACCACAAATGCTAAATCAGTGGATACAGGGATTCTACTGTATATTCCTTTCATTTAAAAAATCTTGAGTGTATGATAAAATATTGATGTAAAAAAGTTCATAATTTTTTTAAAAGGTAGACAACACTTGCCTGTAAAATGTGACTTGAAGAATTTTTGTCATCTTCTGCCACTCCCCAGGAAAACAATGCACCTGACATAAATTTAACTTTACTTTTGATGACATCCTCTTCTAAGTTAAATTCACTGATAGACCAGTTTCCTGTAATAGACCAGCCACCCATTTTCTGAAAAATAAGAAAAACAAAATATATATATAGCATAACTGTTTAGTAAATGACACTTGTTTTTTAACCAATCATAAAAATTACAAAAAAAAGTACTCTCAATTCATGTCTTCAATAATAACATATTTCATTTAAAACAATGTATATAACTATTACCTCAATGAGCTGCAGAACTGGTTTTCCACCAAGTTTCTCAATGGTTTTATTGGCATCCATACATGAGCGATAAAACACTCGAGCCTTCTCTTCTGCCTTGCTCTCAGATTTTTCAGTTGACTCTGCAATTGCACTACTATTAAATGTCTGTATTATGAGGTACTGCCATGGTTTCTTTTACTGTCTCATAAACACGCTAGATAACAGGGATATCTTGCTACTCCTACTTACACTTTGGTCACACTTCACAGACACGCACATGCATATATATATACATACATCTAGGTTTTCTCCTTTTTCTAAATAGCTCTTGTTCTTCTTTATTTCTTCTATTGTCCATGGGGAAGTGGAAAAGAATCTTTCCTCCGTAAGCCATGCGTGTCGTATGAGGCGACTAAAATGCCGGGAGCAATGGGCTAGTAACCCCTTCTCCTGGCATTTACTAAAAAAGAGAAGAAGAAAAACTTTATAAAACTGGGATGCTTGAATGTGCGTGGATGTAGTGCAGATGACAAGAAACAGATGATTGCTGATGTTATGAATGAAAAGAAGTTGGATGTCCAGGCCCTAAGCGAAACAAAGCTGAAGGGGGTAGGGGAGTTTCGGCGGGGGGAAATAAATGGGATTAAATCTGGAGTATCTGAGAGAGTTAGAGCAAAGGAAGGGGTAGCAGTAATATTGAAGGATCAGTTATGGAAGGAGAAAAGAGAATATGAATGTGTAAATTCAAGAATTATGTGGATTAAAGTAAAGGTTGGATGCAAAAAGTGAGTCATAATAAGTGTGTATGCACCTGGAGAAGAGAGGAATGTAGAGGAGAGAGAGATTTTGGGAGATGTTAAGTGAATGCATAGGAGCCTTTGAACCAAGTGAGAGAGTAATTGTGGTAGGGGACCTGAATGCTAAAGTAGGAGAAACTTTTAGAGAGGGTGTGGTAGGTAAGTTTGGGGTGCCAGGTGTAAATGATAATGGGAGCCCTTTGATTGAACTCTGTATAGAAAGGGGTTTAGTTATAGGTAATACATATTTTAAGAAAAAGAGGATAAATAAGTATACAAGATATGATGTAGGGCGAAATGACAGTAGTTTGTTGGATTATGTATTGGTAGATAAAAGACTGTTGAGTAGACTTCAGGATGTACATGTTTATAGAGGGGCCACAGATATATCAGATCACTTTCTAGTTGTAGCTACACTGAGAGTAAAAGGTAGATGGGATACAAGGAGAATAGAAGCATCAGGGAAGAGAGAGGTGAAGGTTTATAAACTAAAAGAGGAGGCAGTTAGGGTAAGATATAAACAGCTATTGGAGGATAGATGGGCTAATGAGAGCATAGGCAATGGGGTCGAAGAGGTATGGGGTAGGTTTAAAAATGTAGTGTTAGAGTGTTCAGCAGAAGTTTGTGGTTACAGGAAAGTGGGTGCGGGAGGGAAGAGGAGCGATTGGTGGAATGATGATGTAAAGAGAGTAGTAAGGGAGAAAAAGTTAGCATATGAGAAGTTTTTACAAAGTAGAAGTGATGCAAGGAGGGAAGAGTATATGGAGAGAGTATATGAGAGAGTGGGTGAGATGTTATCAACAAATTTTGTTGAAAATAAGAAAAGTTTTGGAGTGAGATTAACAAGTTAAGGAAGCCTAGAGAACAAATGGATTTGTCAGTAAAAAACTAGGAGAGGAGAGTTAGAGGTATTAGGAAGATGGAGGGAATATTTTGAGGAATTGTTAAATGTTGATGAAGATAGGGAAGCTGTGATTTCGTGTATAGGGCAAGGAGGAATAACATCTTGTAGGAGTGAGGAAGAGCCAGTTGTGAGTGTGGGGGAAGTTCGTGGTTGGTGCAATTATTTAATAAATGTATGGAAGAGGGTAAAGTACCTAGGGATTGGCAGAGAGCATGCATAGTTCCTTTGTATAAAGGCAAAGGGGACAAAAGAGAGTGCAAAAATTATAGGGGGATAAGTCTGTTGAGTATACCTGGTAAAGTGTATGGTAGAGTTATTATTGAAAGAATTAAGAGTAAGACGGAGAATAGGATAGCAGATGAACAAGGAGGCTTTAGGAAAGGTAGGGGATGTGTGGACCAGGTGTTTACAGTGAAACATATAAGTGAACAGTATTTAGATAAGGCTAAAGAGGTCTTTGTGGCATTTATGGATTTGGAAAAGGCGTATGACAGGGTGGATAGGGGGGCAATGTGGCAGATGTTGCAGGTGTATGGTGTAGGAGGTAGGTTACTGAAAGCAGTGAAGAGTTTTTATGAGGATAGTGAGGCTCAAGTTAGAGTATGTAGGAAAGAGGGAAATTATTTCCCAGTAAAAGTAGGCCTTAGACAAGGATGTGTGATGTCACCGTGGTTGTTTAATATATTTATAGATGGGGTTGTAAGAGAAGTAAATGCGAGGGTCTTGGCAAGAGGCATGGAGTTAAAAGATAAATAATCACACATAAAGTGGGAGTTGTCACAGTTGCTCTTTGCTGATGACACTGTGCTCTTGGGAGATTCTGAAGAGAAGCTGCAGAGATTGGTGGATGAATTTGGTAGGGTGTGCAAAAGAAGAAAATTAAAAGTGAATACAGGATAGAGCAAGGTAATGAGGATAACAAAAAGATTAGGTGATGAAAGATTTGAAATCAGATTGGAGGGAGAGAGTATGGAGGAGGTGAATGTATTCAGATATTTGGGAGTGGACGTGTCAGTGGATGGGTCTATGAAAGATGAGGTGAATCATAGAATTGATGAGGGGAAAAGGGTGAGTGGTGCACTTAGGAGTCTGTGGAGACAAAGAACTTTGTCCTTGGAGGCAAAGAGGGGAATGTATGAGAGTATAGTTTTACCAACGCTCTTATATGGGTGTGAAGCATGGGTGATGAATGTTGCAGCGAGGAGAAGGCTGGAGGCAGTGGAGATGTCATGTCTGAGGGCAATGTGTGGTGTGAATATAATGCAGAGAATTCGTAGTTTGGAAGTTAGGAGGAGGTGTGGGATTACCAAAACTGTTGTCCAGAGGGCTGAGGAAGGGTTGTTGAGGTGGTTCGGACATGTAGAGAGAATGGAGCGAAACAGAGTGACTTCAAGATGTATCAGTCTGTAGTGGAAGGAAGGCGGGGTAGGGGTCGGCCTAGGAAAGGTTGGAGGGAGGGGGTAAAGGAGGTTTTGTGTGCGAGGGGCTTGGACTTCCAGCAGGCATGCGTGAGCGTGTTTGATAGGAGTGAATGGAGACAAATGGTTTTTAATACTTGACGTGCTGTTGGAGTGTGAGCAAAGTAACATTTATGAAGGGGTTCAGGGAAACCGGCAGGCCGGACTTGAGTCTGGAGATGGGAAGTACAGTGCCTGCACTCTGAAGGAGGGGTGTTAATGTTGCAGTTTAAAAACTGTAGTGTAAAGCACCCTTCTGGCAAGACAGTGATGGAGTGAATGATGGTGAAAGTTTTTCTTTTTCGGGCCACCCTGCCTTGGTGGGAATCAGCCAGTGTGATAATAATAAAAAATTAAGGTAAACTGTTGAAAGATAAAGTGTATATGTATATGCTCTAGTGTCTCTAGAAGTAGCAGCTTCTTTCCTGGGGGTAACACACATAGAATATTTCCTATTACCAAGTGCCCCATGGCCTGGTAGGCAATGCTCATTGCTTCATAAGTTGGGTGTTTGGGTTCAATTCCCAGCAAGGGTAGAAACATTGGGTGTGTTTCTTCACAACTGCTGTGCATGTTCACCCATCAGTAAAACAGGTACCTGGGTGTTAGTGGACTGGTCTGGGTAGCATCCTGGGACAAAATTGACCTAATCTGCCTGAGATGCTCTACATAACTAGGGGCTTTCTATATAGTAGTATGTCATTGATATCGACTAGGACTGTATACCTTGTGCATGTACTTGTAGAAGTAAGAGATATTATTATTATTAGTTGACCCTAATTCCTCCCTGGACATTCATCCTGACCCCTCAGAACATTCACCTTGGTTGAACTCTTTGCTTCTGCTTGAAATGCATTGCATATTAGTGGCTTTCTTTTGTACCAAACAGTGTTTTATTATATGCAAACTAGATTATTTTTGTACTGCATAAAAAGAAATAAAAAACTGAATTTGAATTTCTCTAATCTTCTTCTAACACAGGTGAATCTGAGGCAGTCAATCATTAGGTAAAGGATCCCTTGACTACATACAAATTTAGGGCCATGCTTAAAAATCATCTCATATCTCAATACTAACCAAAGCAACTTTTAATCAGTTTGAAGCAACTCTCCAAATATTATATTATATGACCTCTAGTCTATTAAAACATCTGCCAGTCCATAAAATATTACTGTTTGAACCATTAATTGTAATTTTGTTTTTATTATGTGCAACTTCAAAATAAGCATTCTTATAAACCTCCACCTTGACTACCTCACATTAGTATTAAGAAAAATAAAGATTTATTAAAAAGTTAACCACTCCAAAATTGTCTAGACTTAAGTAGTTATGATGTACTAGGGTAAGTTTGCCTGAAATGCCCTGGCATGGTAGTGGCTTTCTTTGTACTTAACAAATCAAAATTGTAATAAACATTGTAACCTTTGCAAAGAAATAAAATCTTTATTCTTTATTCTTTTCGGGCGAACTTGCCTCCATTGCTCTATCTGCCATAGATATGAGGCAAAAAGTACAAGACACAAAGAGGTCATTGATGTCACAAGAACTTTTGCCATATCCTCTTGTTAACCACAAAAGGAACTTCAATCATACAGATTTAATGGTAGCCAGAAGCATTCTAATGGAACCTCCATATAAATCATTGTAGTAAAGCAAGTCTTTCCTCAAAAATCTTTCACTTCCTGCTGTTGTTCATTTTGAGAGTTCTAGGTTTTGGCCAATGTTACATCTTCTGGTCAATGCTGAAAATGACTGAGGGACTGACACCAAGGCATAACGCTGGGCTTTTCTTTGAATATGCAGTATGTAGTACAATGTTTTCCTGAAACTGTATTCTAATAAAATAAACATCATTACCTTTGAACATCAAAATGGTATACAATACCGACAGGTTGGTAGGTAAGACACATAGGCAACAGTTAGGCAACTTTATTCCGAAAAGTTTCGCCTACACAGTAGGCTTCTTCAGTCGAATGCAGAAAGTAGGCAGGAACAGTAGAGATGTGAAGACGATGTAATCAGTCCATCACCCTTGAAGTCGTAGAATTTGAGGTTGTCAGTCCCTCAGCCTGGAGACGTTCAGTCCCATAGTCAGGAACTATCTGAAGATCAAGCGACTGAGAGGGACATGACCTCTCAGTGGCTACATTCTCACTACTGCTACTCTGCACCTCTCCTTCCGACAGTATTTAAGTCTCCGCACTGTCGCTTGATCTTCAGATAGTTCCTGACTATGGGACTGAACGTCTCCAGGCTGAGGGACTGACAACCTCAAATTCTACGACTTCAAGGGTGATTGACTGATTACATCGTCTTCACATCTCTACTGTTCCAGCCTACTTTCTGTATTCGACTGAAGAAGCCTGCTGTGTAGGCGAAACGTTTTGGAATAAAGTTGCCTAACTGTTGCCTATGTGTCTTACCTACCATCATTATCTTTGACCGGTTATGATCGCAAAGGTCCAAGTCAGACGGAAATGTTGTCATAAGTTTCTTCCTCCTATGTGCAGGTTTATTTATGTATTGTTCCAGTCATGGTATTGTGCCTTTTTGTTTTCCATGCAGTTTCACTTCATTAGAATTCACTTATATGTGATGACCCTTATACTACCAGTAATTTGCTATATGCAGCACAAATTAATCCATATGAGAGCAACCAAGCCCAGCACCACTTCACTTTTAACCATATCTCATTAAGTACTCCATGGAGAAGTGGAGAAGAATACTTCCTCCATAAGCCATGCATGTTGTAAGAGGTAACTAAAATGCCAGGAGCAAGGGGCTTGTAATATTTTCTTCTGTATAAATTACTAAATGTAAAAAGAAGGAAAACTTTCATTTTTTCTTTTTTGGTCACCCTGCCTCAATAGGAGACAGCGAGTGTGTTACAAAAATATCATTACGTACACTATGCATAACTGGGGACTTTCCATGGCTACTATGAAATGCCATCTGATCTTGTAAACTTGTATGCTGTATCCTGTGACAATAAAAGTTTATTTTGTTTTTTAAGGAAGAAATATTAGGTAAGCCCTACCCTTCCTGACCAGTGCCATTTTACACACAACTCTACTAAACCATCACTTTTGTAAATAAGAACAAATGAGCACTGTAATAGGCCTATTGATTCATGCTATACAGGTCCTACTCTCAGCTACTAATACAAAATCATTTTGCCAGGCCAGGGGGGCTGGCAAAATTTTGGGTCAAATTGCCTCAGAGATTCTGCAGATTCAGATAAAATGGAAAAAAAACAAAAACATACCAATTTGGAGAAAGAATAACTTCATTAGTGGAAATTTTTGTTTTACAGTCTATTGAACAATTACATATTTCTAAGCTGTTCATGACTGCAGATTAATCAGTAATGTCTAATGTTCAATTTCAATAATTTTCTGCATACACAGGAATTGCTTTTATGTTTGTTTTTATATTTGAATTTGTTTTCATCCTTTACATCAATAAAATGTTTTATTTTCACTGGGAGGGTAGATGCAGGAGTGCTATTTTTTGTATTCATTTTTGAGAATGTAAAAAAAATCATATTTTTTTATTTATACCCTAGGTAGTGCTTATAGTGGTGTGTCAGTCTGTGGGCATCTGTGATGATCCTATACCATTTATACATTTGATTAATTTTACTAAGTACTTTCTCTAGAAACTACAGTCATATTAATCGTCTATAAGTTAAGAGGTGGGACTAAAATGGGGCTCAGTGCCTACATACCCAGCTGTGGTAGGAAAATTACACAGAGTAATTGTCCACAAGCAACTCAAGCCATCTGATCCACTAGTTATGAAATTTGCTAGGTCATAAAATTCAGCTGATAAAGTACAGTGACTGGTCAGGCATATGTTCACTCTACCAAATTTGATGCAAATTTGCTGAAACACTCTTGTGAATATTATACAGAAATAAGGGCATCTGCATTCCCAGACACAATTATTACTAAAATATCCAGAATAGTCATCCATCACTCAGAAATATTAGTGGTTTGTATCCTGCATTCTGTTAGGTAAATGGTCACAGATGTAACTAATTGTTTTTTTTCAACAAACCAGACATATCCCAACAAGGCGGGGTGGCCCAAAAAAGAAAAACGAAAGTTTCTCTTTTTAAATTTAGTAATTTATACAGGAGAAGGGGTTACTAGGCCCTTGCTCCTGGCATTTTAGTCGCCTCTTACAACATGCATGGCTTACGGAGGAAGAATTCTGTTCCATTTCCCCATGGAGGTAAGAGGAAATAAACAAGAACAAGAACTAGAAAGAAAATAAAAGAAAACCCAGAGGGGTGTGTATATATATGCTTGTACATGTATGTGTAGTGTGACCTAAGTGTAAGTAGAAGTAGCAAGACGTACCTAAAATCTTGCATGTTCATGAGACAAAAAAGACACCAGCAATCCTACCATCATGTAAAACAATTACAGGCTTCCGTTTTACACTCACTTGGCAGGATGGTAGTACCTCCCTGGGTGGTTGTTGTCTACCAACCTACTACCTACATGTAACTAATGTGGCATTTTATTGTGGCAACACTAAAATGTCACATTAGTTGCATGTGTCCATCTACTTAACAGTTTGTCAATAATTCTATTATCACTAATTAAGCATTGTATATTAAATGTGAAATATAAGAGTTAACAAATTCTCCAGACATTGTTTAAAAATTAATGACAGAAAAATAAGACAAATTTACCTAAATTAAACAGTAAAGAATTACAAGAGATTCCTGGATTTATCATACCTGATAATACCACAAGAGATTCTGATTACATTATAAGCTTCTGTTTTTTCCTTTTTTTTAACACATTGGCCATTTCCCACCAAGGCAGTGTGGCCCAGAAAAGTAGAAACACTTTGATCATCATTTGTTCCATCACTGTCTTGCCCGAGGCATGCCTACACTACAGTTAAAAAACTGCAATGTGTATATCAACACCCATTCTTCAGAGCACAGGCATTGTACTTCCCACAGTACAGCTTTTCCCTTATGTCTAGTGAAAATCACTGAGGAAGTTGGCCACTATACCAAAAAGCATACAAAAACTGAGTAGGTGACATACCCAGAACATTATGCATGATTACTTGGTTGTCTGAGGCCAGTTTATTGAGAGTGCCCCATATTGGCTTGCCTTCAGGAATGGGATTCTTGTTCACCCATCCTCCACATGCATAATCGTAAAAATTAACACAGGGATCTGCTGTAGAATCCATGCTGTTGAGCACAGACCCAGAGAGCATGACACATTCTGGAGTTAAACATACATCACCAGCACCTATGGAATAAAGAAAAAATAAGTATTAAGTGATGCCATAATAAAAAAAAGTGATTTTTTAAAGCAAATGTTAATTAAAATTAATATCCATTTTCCTCAGAACAGTAAAGCAATGACTTATAAAGGTTAACAGCATCACCAGACAGATCAAGAGCATCTAGGTTGTCAAAAACATCTAGGTTGTCAAGAGCATTTAGGTTGTCAAGAGCATCTAGGTTGTCAAGAGCATCTAGGTTGTCAAGAGCATCTAGGTTGTCAAGATATTAGGTGTCAGAATCTAGGTTGTCAAGAGCATTAGGTTGTCAAGAGCATCTAGGTTGTCAAGAGCATCTAGGTTGTCAAGAGCATCTAGGTTGTCAAGAGCATCTAGGTTGTCAAGAGCATATAGGTTATGAGAGTTAGGAATTTAGAGTGAAAGTGCAGGATCAGAGGTACTGTGATGACTTACTGGTAGTTCTTCGTTACCAGTTACTGAATATATTGCAAATTTTTTTATTATTTATTAACACATCGGCTGATTCCCACCAAGGCAGGGTGGCCCGAAAAAGAAAAACTTTCATCATCATTCACACCATCACTGTCTTGCCAGAGGGGTGCTTTACACTACAGTTATAAAACTGCAATATTAGCACCCCTCCTTCAGAGTGTAGACACTGTACTTCCCATCTCCAGGACTCAAGTCTGGCCTGCCGGTTTCCCTGAATCCCTTCATAAATGTTACTTTGCTCACACTCCAACAGCATGTCAAGTATTAAAAACCATTTGTCTCCATTCACTCCTATCAAATACGCTCACGCACACTTGCTGGAAGTCCAAGCCCCTCACACACAAAACCTCCTTTACCCCCTCCCTCCACCCTTCCTAGAC